GTGTGTGACAGCTAGTGTGTGTGTGTGTGTGTGTGTGTGTGAGTGTGTGTGAGAGAGAGAGAGTGTGTGTGTGTGTGTACTAGTATTCACTATGTTATGAGGACCAAATGTCCCCACAAGTATAGTAATACTATTATATTTTGACCTTGTGGGGATATTTTTTTTGGTCCCCAAGAAGAAACAAGCTTATAAATCATACAGAATGAAGTGTTTTGGAAATCTCAAAATGCAGAAAGTTTTGTGTGCGGGGTCGCTTTAGGGTAAGGGGATAGAAAATACAGTTTGTACAGAGTAGAAAAACCATTACACCTATGGAGAGTCCCCTTAAACCACATATACCAACATGTGTGTGTGTGTGCGTGTGTGTGCACATGTGTGTGAGTGTATGTGTGAGTGTGTGTGTGCATGTGTGCGTCCTGTTTTTAATTAGAGCTATTTCTTAATGTTGCCTTAATGTTTCCGACAGGACAAGCAGGTGCATGTCAAAGCAATCAGTCAGTGAAGAAACACACACACACACACACACACACACACACACGCAGTTTCATCAGCCTCATTCACGTCATCCTTTACTGTAAAACATGGAATGCCACAAAATGTGTCTATTCAGATGAATAAATCAAAAGTAGGGCTGTACAATGGCATGAACGAGCGGCTGTGACTGTTTCTGAAATATAAAGTCTGTCAGTAACAGAAATGATTGATAAAATTTTCTTTGACAAAAAATGCAATGTTCTGTTGTAAATTAATTGTTATATTTTCATCTGATTATATTTCAAAAGATTGTTAAAGTTTTATTAATTCAATTGTTTGGAAATGCTTTTTGATTATTAAAAATTTATTATCCTGTTAAAGAGAATTAGAAAAATGTAAACAGAAAACACAGAATTGGAATTTAAGAAAAATAAAAACAGATTTACATTTATTAATTTAGCCAAAGAGCCTTTTATTGCACTCAAGCTATACATTAGATCAGTTCATGCATTCCTGGGAATCGAACCCGTGACCTTGCCGTTGCGAGCGTCATGATCTACTGCTGGAGCTGCAGGAATACTTCATACTTCACTATATTCACAGCTCACAATGCAGGTAAAAAGCATGAAGTAGATTAATACACGAGCCTCTAGTGATGACGAATCAGCATGAATCCATGAGCATTATGAGCGTTGCCATAGAAACCAATCATCTCTAAGTCCAAGGACGTGAAGAGCTCAGAATGAATTCTGACTAACCGCCTCATAATTATGCAAATTCTGACATGAGCAGTGTTGGGAAGGTTACTTTGGAAATGTAACAGGTTACGGATTACAAGTTACCCTATTTAAAATGTAATAGTAGTGTAACTTTTTCAATTACTTTATTAAAGTAATGTAACTGATTACATTTGATTAATTTTTGATTACTTTTCTAAATTCCTAATGAATGTTTATTTGCAACTGTTAATCATTTTCAAACATTTACACCATGCAGAGTTAACCTTACAGTAGTGCTCACACTGCCAGGCTTTCACAATCCTTCCTCACTTGAATTAAGATGATAATAACTGAACACATCGCCCACAAAATCAGACTTTAGTACCGCCTTTTACTTTCAAATCTGCTGTTCATGCTTTGATGACAGCGTTTGAGCAACTCACGTGAGCTTCAAACAAACCTGTGACTCTTTTACACTGATCTGTTTGATGTGGGTTTGGGGGCGGGGCTATATGACTGACTGGCCAATGGCAGAGCATTTGTGAAACCCGTTTGAAAACAGTCATCATGTGTCAGTAAGGTTCCTCACCACCATGTTGTTTTTGGAGACCCAGCAGTCGGGTGGGAAGTCCTGCAGCATCGGCACCAGGAACTGCAGACATCCGTCCCAGTGACACAGCAGCAGCATCATGCCAATCAGATTGACGATCCGCACCATCGCGCTGGCCAGGTCATAGGTCATGTGGAAGATCTGTGCAATACACACTCATATCATCACTCTCCTATTTAAAAACATTCATTCATGTGTATTTTATCGGCTTGATTTCAGCATAAACCACAATCACAGTTATTCTGCTCAATACTGAGACCATGAATATTTAACTCAATTACTCACTGATTTTGGAAACATCATGCTAGCGGTGGGAAATACATATGGAAGGCCGTTTCCGCCATGAAATAAAAATAAAAACGGCAATTGCGACATTTTATCTCACAATTCAGACTGTTTGTCTTGCAATTCTGAGTTCTATCTCACAATTTACTCTTTTTTATATAGATATAATAAACTAAGAATTCTGACTTTTTTCTCACAAAGTTTTTCTCACAAAGTTTACATCTCACAATTCTGTTTCCACCACAAAGAAAAAAAGCTAATTGTGACTTTGTATCTAACAATTATGACTTTGTTTCTTGCAATTGCAAGGTTATATTTCACAATTCAGACTTTTCTTCTCAGAATTGCAATTTTCTTGCTATTTTGCTTTTATATCTTGCAATTCTAATTTTGTTGTGAGGGAAAAAAGTCCAGATTGTGAGGAAGTTGCAAATTACCTTTTTAATTTTTTTTCCCCATGGCGGAAACCTTGGCTTGAACTTTTGCAAACTCAATACCAATTTTGACAGCAAAATCTAATAGTAGCCTAAATAATGCAAGTAAGAAGAGTAATAAAGCCAGTAATAAAATAAGAACAAATTATGTCTGTGTGTGTGTTTCTGTGAGACAGAGGGTGTGTGTGTGTGTGTGTGTGTGTACACACACACACATTCAGCCAGTGTTCATTTACTGCTTTCTGTAGGACAGTAAATGATACTTCATATTCAGTAATATTATTGATTTAACTGCTGGATAAAAACCAAACTGAATTGATCTGAATAATGACTCTATTGTCTTCTGTAGAGCTGCTTTACAGCCGAAATTTGTTTCATAATTGATGAATTTTACAACATTCACACTGTTATCTTCCTGTTCATCACTGTGAAGCTACTTTTAAACAATCTGCATTGCATAAAGTGCTATAGAAATAAATGTGACTTGACTTGACCATGGATGACTTGCTGGTTAAAGGGATAGTTTAGCCAAAAATGAATTAGGTCCCCACTGACTTTCACTGTATGAACAAAAACACTGAGACATTTCTCAAAATATCTTCTTTAATGCTTCACTGAAGAAAGACGGAAGGTCATTGAGGTTTTGAAGGACATGAAGGAGAGTAAAGTACACTGCTGGTTACACTGTTTAATTCATTTTTTTCATATGTTTAACTATTTATTTATTTGAAAAATACACTAATAAAATTCCTGAATCAAGAAAATGCCTTCTGCTGAGAGAGAGACTGACCTCTGAGTCCAGGTGAGCTTCCAGGTCCACCATCAGGAAGATGTAATCCACCGGGATCGAGGACACGAAGTCCACGAGGAACCAGCTCTTCAGGTAGCGCTGGCGGATGGCCTTGGGGTCCAGCAGGATCTCCGTACTGTCCTCTTTCACGATCCCGGTGCGGAAGTTCAGCACCAGATCCACCAGGAAGAGCGTGTCCGACACCACATTAAAGATGATCCACGGAGGAGTGTTCTCGTCCTTGAAGAAGGTGATTCCCACCGGGAGGATGATGAGGTTTCCCACCATTAGCAGCAGCATGAGGAGATCCCAGCAAAACCTGCTCGGAGACAGAGAGCTTGAGCATCTCCATTAATGAATATGCACTACACTATATAGTAAGAGAAAAAAAGTAAAAAGAGTGGTGTGTCTGAATTCATAGTATTCATGAAATAGTAGACGGAATCCAGTAATAAAAATGGAATTCCTTATAACAAGGAATGTCATGGAATTTGGCAACATTTGGATGAATGAATCAAAAGTAGGGCTGTACACGTATGCACTAGTGTCTGTGAATGTTAAAGCACTGCTGTGTAAATGTGAATCTGCATGTTGTGTGTGTGTCAGTTTGCTCTACTACACATACTGAAACACACGTGACACTCGTCTGCATCTTAATATATGAGCACATGAACTTCATCTGAGAGTCACTTCACCAGCATTTCACCATTTATTTTCTGAAAATTATCGGGAGATACACACAGAAACTTAAAGATCTTCACTACAACCTGCCAAAATAAAAGTTTAGCTTGAAAAAAATTGTTACAAAATGTATCAGTACTGTACAGTAAATTTTACTTCTCAAAGTAATAATAATAATAATAATAATAATAGTTTATAAAAAAGTATTTTTAAAGAATAGAACACAATATTTCTTCCATGTTTAAACAGTAAACTTACGTTATGCAGCACAAAAAATGAAAGGAATTTCCACTATTCAATAAGGTAGTGAAGCAACACAACTGATGTAGTAATGTAACATGAAGCTGATCACGTCTTCTGTCTCTGTTCATGTTTCAGTCGCTCTGTGTCTGTCTGTAAGAGTCTGATTATCTCTGTCTGCGGTTATGACATCAATATTATTGATCATCTCCCTATGAGAGATCCAGAGCTGCATGGAGTGATAATACAGTAATGCAGGAGTCTAGCTGAGCACGTCTTACACACACACACACACACACACACACACCACATCATATCACATCACATCACAAATCATCTGTGAGTGTGAGTGACTATGTGAGTGTGCAAGTGTAAGTGTGAGTTTAAGTGTGTGTGTGTGTGTGCAAGCATTTGAGTGTGTGTGAGTGTGCGAGTATTTGTGTGTGTGTGTGTATGTATGTGTGACTGTGTGTGAGTGCATGTAAGTGCTTGTGAGTGTGAGTGCATGTGAGTGTGAGTGCGTGTGTGTGTATGAGTAAGTGTGACTACGTGTGTGTGCATGTGAGTGTGACTGTGCGAATGAGTGTGAGTCTGAGTGTCTGTGTGTGTATAAGTGTGACTGTGTGTGTGTGTGTGAGTGCACGTGAGAGTGACTGTGTGTGAGTGTGTGTGTGTGTGTGTGTGT